AACACAATCTTCTTTCCAGGAAAAAGGCCCTGGCTCCTGCACTGCAAACGGCGTTGCTTCACGGTCTAAATTCTCGTGCTCAGTGGGTTTGAAAATTAAACTCTCCTCATGCTGGCAGAGGAAGGTGTGTCTGTATTAAGGCTGAGCTACTTTCCTCTCCACCTCCCAGGCCAGCACTGTCACTGCACACGCTGTTCCCATCAGCTAGTACAACTCCTTGGCCTCGTATGAACTAGGCACAAAAGCATTTCCAGCTTGTCACCCAGTGGCTCTTCTGATCTCCAGCTCTGCCACGCTGTCCTGGAGCACCGTACCACCGTGAGCAGAGGTTGCCATCGTCCATACCAACTGCCTGCCACGTGAGGAAAAAGGTAGCATGTTTCAGTGGGAAGCAAAGATGAATAAAAAAGGAGGAGTTCTCTAGTCTCCCAGGAGTCCTGATCGTATCACTAGCCACTAAAATAAAGACTGGTTTTGTTGGCTATTTTTATTCCCGCAAAATTAATTTACAGCACATCTGCCACAGTAGGATATACCATTTCCCTAAAGAAAATCAGTGTTTTTCCTGCATAATTGGCTCTTCAATGGCATGCACATTATATATAAAGCATTCATGCACAAACAGTTCATTCTGCCCTGGTTATTTTCCCTGTCATAGCATGAGTATTTTTAGCCCTCATGTGATCCTCCAGTATTTTCCAGCTCTGCTTTAGTCATCCTGCTGTCACTGAATATTTCCAACTCAAATGTCTAACAGCCTTCAGATCTAAGAACCTCTCACATTTTAGATTACATGTAAATAATTAATTTTATTAAGCTGTCTTTTACCCATGTATTTTTGACACCCCACACCCATACACAAAGCAGTGCTTCATGGATTTGCTCTGACATACAGCAATAGTTACATAAGACACTAAGCTGAAACTCTGACAACTTGATCACCATTTTCAATTTGATCAGATGAAGCTGCTTCTGCTATTTTCCACAGGGAGCATTAGAACTGGCACAAACAACAATGCCCTAATATTTTAATCCCTTACCATGATTTTGACTCTACATCTGTAGTCTGTTTACCACTGCATTAGAGAAGAGCGGAGGCTGTAGGAGATCAAAAGGCAGCTCAGGGCTGGCAGATGGCGTTATATCTAAAAGCAGCTGTGGTGCTGTTGGCAGAGAGCCTGCAGCGGTGGTCTGTGCTGCTGGCTCCACTCCTTGAAGGATGAAAACATACTCGTTCCCCCAGCAGGGAGCTGCATTTACCTGGCAAATCCTTGCTGCTTCTACTACTTCTAGAAGCAGCCTTTTACGTGTGCTACCAAAGCCATCCACCCACCATACCGCCATCAGCTCAGCAACAAATCCTCTCTGTCTCTCAAGGAAGGGATGAGACAACGCGAGGGTGGCACATCAGATTAGTTGTAGGGACCTATTTACGCTTCCATTTCCGAGCAGCATTATCCTTGACCTGTGGTGACTCCTCAGTAAGATTGCCTTTGGGAGGGGTAGGGCCATGGCTGCTGGCCTGCTCCCCGATTAACACAAAAAACGGTGCACTTTCAGATTTCTCCACTTTTGGGTTGGTTTAAATGCATTTTAAATAATAACATAAAGACCACGCTCTGCATTTGAAGACATACAGGTAAATACTCATGTATAGGTACAGAAAACAGCTATCTGATACCATGGGTCTTGTCAAGTTTTAGTGTCAGATTAAAATACCAAAACCACTTCTAACTCATGCCAGTACCTTTTTGGGTAAGCTTTTCAGATTTGGGTAAGCTTTCAGAGCAGTCCTTAGGGATGTGACCAGTTTCTTGTTAATTCAAAGACATATCTTAGTCTACCTCTGAAAACTTAGTGTTAAAACCGTTACAAAGCAGTTATAAATAAAGAGATCAGCATCTCCTAAATCACTTTAAAACAAAACTCTGGCAAAGGGCACTGGAAGAGTTATTCTGTGGAACATCAGGAATCATTTGAAATGCATATGAAAGTACCAGTAACTAAATAAATGATTCTTTTAGAAATTTACATCAATTTAGAATCTTATTTAAAAGTCTGTCAAAACCAAAAATATAGCATGAATGAGTACCCCTATGTCTCCTTGCTTCTGATACTAAACAACAGATGCATACATTTAGGTATGTCCACTGCACACTATTTAAAAAATTTTTGGATTGTGCTGAAAGATCTTCTGGGTTCTTTATTTTCTCTTATTACTGCTTCTTTTTGTTTTGTTAATGAACTGAAACAGGGCAGTACTAAGATTTCAAGGCTTCAGTGTTAATGTAGAGCAAATCAAACAAATTTAAAATGACATAAAAAAAGAAAATGTAGAAAAAAGAGGCAAGCTACTGTGGCAAACTCTACAGATGCTGGCAAATACTTGCTGCACTGGTGTGTGAAGTTATTGCATCAAGCAGCCCACAATGTTTACTGCTCCCACATCAAAGTCAGTGGAAGTACAGCCATGCCCAAAACCTCAGCCATTTCACTGAAGACCCAGGGAAGAAAGACAAAGCTCCAGATGGGGTGGGGAATTCTTAACCTGCTGCAGGAGAACTCATTAAACCTTTTTTGCCCTTTCTATATAAACACCTAAACTTGTTTAGCTCACATGGGCACATTACGGTTCCTATAGCAACTGTAATGAATACTCCTTCATTTCCAGCTAAGTGTGCACGTGCACAAGACGGAAGTATAGAAGCACATCTTTGATGGCAACTTCCCAACTACCCAGGACCTGCTTCCACATCATCCCAACTTACTCCCAAACAGCACACAAGCTTGCAGATGCATATGGCACTCCTCCCAGTGTCCTCTAGCAACAGGCAGAGTTGTTGCTAAGTACTCCTATCCTTTCAAGCAACTAGGCTACTTGACGTGGTGAGGCGAGTGGCACAAAGGCACAATAGATCAGTGAAATGAAAACGTGCTCACCCAGAAATTGAATAAGCCTATGAATGACACGTAACTGAAACAGTCCTGTTCTAAAATGCAAGCAGCAATAAAAGCTAGGACTTTCATTTCACCTAGCATCATGTAATGTCTATACCCTGCCTCCTCAGCCCAAAAGAAGTAGCATCCTGCCTGTCATACTTCAGGACAATACTTAAGTTAATAATGAAGGAAGCTTTCCATGAAAAAGCTAACTCTCACAGCCACAGGATCTTACTAAAACTCATCACACAATCTATTCCATACAAGGGCTGGGAAGACACAGGACATGCTCTTCATACAACCAGCAACATCACACAAGATCACTGCATTATCCTCTATATCAGCTGTCTGGTTCCACTTCAGTAGCTATTCTATTTCTCTAGGATCGACACCTCCATAGTTTTAATTTGGATGACACATTTGGTTTTGTTTTTACCAAAGTCACATCTGCAAGAAGAATTACCATGCATGGTAAAGCCTGTATTTAATAAAAGTGTCTTTTCCAATTTCTCAGTTGGGACAACATCATGACCTTAGCAGTTGGGATTTTTTGTTTTCAAAGGGAATGCAAGACATCACATTGGAAATTATAGCATACAAGGCCCTGAAATTCAAAAGTTCAGACACAAGATGGTGCAAAACAAAGATGTAAACAAGCTGCAGAAGCTCAGAGCAGCACTGGCCTGCTATTAGGTGCTCAATTTCCTGGAAGCACTGATGAGCTGAAGGCAGCTGGCCAAGCAGGCCCTGCTTTGACGTCAGAAGTGATCAGAGCAGAATGCTGAAATCCGGGTATGACTTCAGAGTGTAAACTAAGGGTGCCTCATACCTGCTCCTTCCCTTTGCCAGCACTAGCGCATATCTGAGCCCATGAGAAGACAGGTCACAGATTTAAGCCAACTGAAAATTAATCCTTATTTGAGGAATAGGTTCGTGTGGATAAGGTAAACCCAGGACAAACTGATAAAGGAATTGTGTGTGCATGTGTGTTTCTGTATGTACAAACCTATACACGTACAGGCAATCAAACTCAGTAATACTTGTTTAGTGATTACTTTTTTAAAAAAAGTGTTAGCTGCTCTCTTGTTCACTTAACTCTCAGTTATCAAAAAATGGCATCTGCTTAGTGACCAGTCATGCCCATGTTAGAGAAACACCAAAGATCAGGCTTAGTCCTTTTTTGGCCTGTCCCAGAAACACTGTTGTGGTTTAACCCCAGTAGGCAGCTGAACTCCCCACAGCTGCTTGCTCACTGTCCCCTGGCAGGATGGGGGAGAGAATGAGAAGGGCAAAAGTGAGGAAATTAATGGGTTGAGATAAAGACAGTTCAATAGGTAAAGCAAAATTTGTGCACAGAAGCAAAGCAAGGTAAGGAATTAATTCACCACTTCCCTTTGGCAGGCAGGTGTTCAGCCATCTCCAGGAAAGCAGGGCTCCATCGTGCATAACGCTTACTTGGGAAGACAGACACCATAACTCCGAACGTCCCCCCCCTTCCTCCTTCTTCCCCCCAGCTTTTATTGCCAAGCATGACATCATACGGTCTGGAATATCCCTTTGGTCACTTGGGGTCAGCTGTCCCAGCTGTATCCCCTCCCAGGTTTTTGTGCACTCCCAGCCTGATCACTTAAAAGACAATATGAGAAATAGAAAAGGCCTTGACACTGTGTAAGCACCAATCAGCAATAACTAAAACATCCAGCTCTTATCAACATTGTTTTGGTCACATATCCAAAATCCCTACAGCATCATACAGTCTCCTACGAAGAAAGTTAACTCTAACCTAGAAACCCCAATATGATACAAAATAAAAAGTCAGAAGACTGAAAAGTTAGAAGACCTAAGATTGATAGGACTGGGCCAAACTAGGGTACATCACAAGAAGTTGACTTCTGCTGTCTCAGATGCTAAGCCTATGACAAGGCAAAAAGAATCGCCCACCCACACGAAGAAATAATTTTTAACTAGTATTTATGTAAAATGGATCACAGTTTATAATTGTCTTCAGAGACAGATATTTTTTTTTTCTTTTTTTTTTCTTTTTTTAAGATGCAAAATACCTGCAGTTGGAGAGTTTGCGTGGTGAGACTTTTTGGGCAGGTTGAAGATCTGTTCACCAGGATCTGGTGGAGGAAGAGCGTCTTGGCCTTGTCGAGCTTCCACAGGATCATACTCCTTCCCATCATAGTTAGCATCAAAGAACTTCTTAAACCATTGAATGAAATCTAAGTTGTCTTGGAAGCGCCCTTTGACCAGTTTTTCCACGGGAATTACCTGAAAGGTAGAATAAAGGTTCCAACAATGTATCACTGCCATTTTAAAATATAAAAATAAAATACATATACACACTTATTTGAAAAATAATCTACTAACTATATCAGCATATATTCCTCTTCCATTGTTTCCTTCCTGAAAGGGAATTATGAAGGATTTGCAAGTGCTCTTAATAAGAAATAAAACCAAAATAAAACAAAGACCCAGCCTTTGAAGTGGCTATACAGTGGGCGTATGTAAGCCTTTATAACTGCCTTCCAAAGAGTTACTCCTTTCATATTGCAGTGACAGCCATGATGAATGAAGCTGTTCTGGGAGTAACACTGTATTCGGCTAACTAAGGTCTTCTGTTTTTAATGGACATGCTACAGTTGGGCATACTAAAAGAACAATTCTTCAAAAGGTCCAGACAGGAGTTTTTTGCTCTCTGTCCTACTGTCTGAACTACAAAAAACCCAGCAGCTTTTCCAAGACATTCTGAAGTTCAAACCAACCTACATTTTGGTAGTACATGTCCATCATAAGAACTAACCCTGGAGGTTTTAACCTTGTAATTTTTTTCCATTCCATATAACGCTATACACAGAACAGTTTGTGGACATGCAGAAGTTGGCTAAAATGCCAAGGAAGTTTTAGGAAAACAAAAGAAAGGCTATGAGGATACCTCCATATCCACATCCTGCAAATTTTTCACATAAATGAAACCTCCAAAAAGTATCTTGGGCCAGTATTACAGTGCTCAAGCTTCCCAGACACCGTGGGCAGATAGGGACTACAACTGCAGAAGGAGGGTTGCCCTGCTTTGCTGAATTCACGCATCTGATTGAAGAGCCAAGTTAAACTGGATCTTAACGCCTCCTGAATGCATTCAAATTTTCAGCTGGAAAAAGGGTACCTAAAACCATTGCAATTTCCAATTCTTCTTCAAGGTTAAGCCAACTGTACCACATTTTAAGTCTATAACACTCCTACAAGGATTAACATAGCATTTTGCATATCCTTTCAGATTGTTCCATTTGTATCCTAATTCTACACTGAGAAGGTACAGTAAGTTCGCTCACTACACAACGTCAACTTTAGTAGGCTTTCCCATGTTTCACTAGCAAATCATACTGTAAATAGAAGCATCCACAACATTTCGGGAAACTGCGAGCATTTTCCAGTGCTTTATAGAAGTCTTATGGGATTCTTATTAAGACTGTTTAAATTTCAAAATAAGGCAACACTAAAAGCCAGAGCAGAACCTTAAAAGGGTATACAGGTTGTGCGTCTGCGTAAAACTAAAGTATGACAACCATAACTTTCATTATTTATTTTTATTGTGACAGTAATTTATATTAATCAAACTCTCACATTCAAGCATAAACCAATAGCTCATGGTTGAACAAGCCATTTTTTAAGAGACTTCCATTCTTAACTTTACAAGATCACATGTGCTGTCCAACCTATCAAATTGCTGGGTAAATTATTCCAGCTCTTGAATAATTTAAACTCCTTAAACTCTGTTCTGGACAAGAAACATGGAATACTTATACAAACAGCATACTTCCAAGTTATTTTATTGAACATTCAGGTCACCAGTAATTTTACTGTATCTAAAATTAAGGTTCACTGCTGGTAAGGAATTTCTAACACATGGTATTTTATCAAAAGGGTCTCTGATATTAAGATATAATGAGTTAGGCTGCAAATTCCTCAGCGGACACATGGACTCAATTTTCAGTTTGTACCTAAATGGAGCATGCCAGATTTCTTCCTTCATGCCTAAATACCCTTTTCAGATGATGAAAGGTCAAGAACAACATCTTCACATACAACTTGTAGCTCCAGCTCTCAGTCCAAAAGCTGAAAAAGTGGACTTTAAGTATTTTGAAGATTGTTTCCCCTGTTTATTGATTTAACCAGTTTATACAACTTTTGAAACTTGTGATTGAAACACAAATACAGAATGCCTACCTTATCCACATTCATTCTTTTAAATGATGCCTGCAGAAGTTTGAAGTTGTGAATGTATTCATGCTCCAGCTTTGCTTGAAACTTTACTTTCTTCAGGCTAATGCACCCTGGGAACAACATGTCCATGAACTGGCAGTAAGCTGCTCCTATAACAAGAGAATGCATTGATGTTAAACCAGACGCACCCAGCTAAGACAAATGACATTTAAGGTCATTAGCAGAAAGTAACAATGTGCTGAATACATCCCTGCTGTAATTCAACCTCACACTATGCACCCAAGATCTACTTGTCTAAGGTACATTGAGCTGTGTGACATATTAACATGAGGTCTTAATTCAATCCAGATGCACGACGCACTGTTGTGCAGCATCTGACGAAGCACCATGACCAATGCAAACTAAACCTTTCTTCTACTTAAAATGGATGTTTGCGGAGTCTCTATACACATGACTGTCCATACAGTGAGAAGATCACAGTCAAAATGGAAATCTCTTAATAAGCTTCCTCAATCCTCACAGCCCCCTGAATTCAACCAAGCCAAGATCATCTTTCTTTTAGCACTTGTAGCTGAATGCCAGTCAAGTCCAGGGCAATCATTTGAAGTTGTATCAAACCACCAAACCACACTTTAAAAAAAAATAATTGTAAAGCTCCAGCTTGATAAAACATACTAGCCAGTTCCCACCCCTCTAAAACAAATATCCTTATTGATTTTCATGTCCTGATAAAAACATTTAAATAAGGAGACTTTAACGTAGTCCACCGATAGATTTCAGAAGCTGGGCTGGCCAGCTTTAGTTCTCACTCAAAATAATAAAGTTCCAAGTTCAACTTTGAGGGCTATCTGAACTCACACAGTAGTAGGTAGGAGTGTGTATAACTAATCCAGCACAGTATACGGAAATATTTCTAAACAGTGTACTGAGTACAGCTAACAGAGCAAGCCTTTTCTTGTGTGCAGGGAGCTTCCTCCTCCTACATCATCATGTCATTGTCATTTGCAAAACAAGTCTCTACTGCTGACACACTCAAGTGTTTAAAAATCAAGGATGAAAATGTTTGAGGAAATCAGAGGAAAACCAATTTCAGTTCTTCAGAAAGAGTGTTCTATGAAATGCTTTATACTCAAAGATTCGGCGAAGTCCATTTCTGGAGCAGAGGGCTGTAGAGCGTACAGTCCCTGTGCTTGAGAATACAGGGCAGGGAAGTGATCACCCGATTACCCCTGACAAGTTCAATTTCACTTCCACAAAAAGGCCTTTTGTGCATTTAATGCAGATCAGTTTTGACAAGTGTCCAGATTTCACATAACAGTTCAGCCCAGTATCAATGACAACAATTTTTATCAAAAAATTAGTTCTGCTGAGTGCTCATACAGAAACCAGATTAACAAAGTGGACACCTGGCTTGCCCAGTTTTGCAGGAGAGGCAACAATAACTTAAATTTAAGACATTTTTCTCTATGGGTATGCATGTGTTTTGACAGGACCAACTTCATGCATGAGAGTTCTCATTCTCTGTATCCACTCAACCATCATATGAAGGGTTACAGAACTCATAACTTCCCAAAAAGAGAAGCAGAGTTTAAGAGTTGAGTCCAAAAAAGTTTCCCAAAACACTGATACAAGTTTTGCTAAGAGACTTATCAAGATCAAGTTTTAGTGCTGAGTATCACTGTCATTTTTTTTAAAAAAAATTTCTTCATATTGCCTATTTTATGGGGGAAAACTGTTATAAAAAAAGAATCTGTTTTTCCAAGGACACCTTGTGCTTAGCTATTTGCAATGGTTTTGATATGATTAGGAATCAAAGTAAAATATTCTCTAAAGGAAAAGGAGCCTTCTGGCAAGTTACAAACATCATATGACAATTCTGCATCTTCATACAGAAACCTATATAAATACAGTTAGTTGTTCAAAACTCATCCTTAGCAAGAGAACTGGTAAATATGTGGCAAGAGAAAAATGACATTACAATTAAAAACATGGATATACAGATAATCCACGGCTTGACTACATTTATTACTATTTAATTTCATGCAAGAGGATTATTATGCAGTCATTTCATGTTATAAATTGAATTTGTTCCCAACTCTGTCCTTTCATCCTCCCCATACCCCAATTATAAGCTTTATTCTGATATCTAATTGCCTGGAGGCCTTGAAAATGCACTGCGCAACCTTTCATCTAGATCCTTTTAGAAAACTAGAAACCCAAAGTGTTCACATGAGATTTTCTCATTCTGCTGATAATGCAAATTCCTTCTGCATGCCTTTAGATAGAGTCTTACTAGGTTTAAGACTCTAGTTATGGTATTTCCTTGTGTTTTCCTCCCATCATGTTGGCAGCTGTTTCTGTGCATTTGCCAGCCAGGAGGTGGTCCTGGGTCTGCACAACACTCGAGGGCAGAAAACACTGGACTACATTCCCATGACAGCACAAACCTGGTCTCTGATACAACATCGAAGGCGGCTGTTGGGCTGTTTGCCCAACAGGAGGGTTTTATTACATTGGCAAACACAATTCATTAAAACGCTCCCTTCCTGAAGTACAGAGGCAACATACAAACACGGACTGAATGAAACACTGTAAACTACAAAGAGAGGAAACTCTTCCCAACTCCCAAAAGGCAGAGACCTGCCTACCACAGCAACAGAAGAAAGTAAAAATATCATTACAGTCAACTGGGACTTGCTGATTTCAGATGTGGAGGTTATGTACATATTTAATATTATATAGGTATTTATCTATGATTTAAAATTTTACCCCCTAAAACTTGTAGCTGTCACATTGCATTTGAATGCTAAAGTCAGTGCAGCAAAATGAGGATGCTACTTTCTACACTGCCCACAGCTGAGACTTCCTTGAGGCAGCAGAAAGAGCAGTCCTGCTTAAGTGATGTAAGATAGTGACGCCTTTACCTTGAAGCAACAGCATATAGAGATGTGGTCCTCTGCATACTGGACAACACTTCAGGCCTATTTAATTTACTGTACAACTGATGCTTCAATGCCCATGCATGGGAGAGGAATATTTTTAACAGACTATAAAGAAAATGGCAATAGAGATAATGACTTTACGGCATGTGATATACCTCTTGTGTAATTTACATGAACAAAAGGATTTTTATGCCATTTTTTGTTATTCAAGATTTTTGAAACTTTCCTACATTTTCTGAAAAAAAGCCAACACCCTGAACAAAACACCCTAAACCCTCAACAAATCTATACAGAGGAGTTGAAAACATACTACCTGTCCAGAATGGCTCTCAATAAATCTGCCTCCATAATAAAAAAAACTTTTATATGCACATAGACAACCAGAAATAATTTGAAATCTACTTAAATGAAAGATGAAAACTACAGCTGGTAGCACTGCAGAGGGATCAATGTTAAAAACCTCTGATCCTGTATTAGCCAACAAGTAATTTAAAATCATTGGCTAAAAGTCCTTGTGTTTGGATCTAGAATATTAGATGCAGCCATTACTTACAGAAGACATTCACAGACTCCAAAACCAACCTGCAAATACAGCTGTGCTAATTACTCCCCCGTGCTGATTATACCCCCAGCTGCTGCTACTTTTGGCCCGATTAGCAGGCAGAAAGAGCCCAGCAGCATTATAGAGTTCGGAGGCGTTTGCTGGGCTTCCCACACCCTGCTGCAGGCAGAGAAGGCACCAAACGCCCCTCAGGGGACTGCACTCAAAGGGCTGGGCAGGCAGGCAGCTGCCAGAGGAGGAGAAGGGATGCTGGGGCAGAATTAAGGCACAAAAGAGCAAACTGAGTTTTGAAAAGCTGGTTGTTTAAAGCTATTACAATTAAAGAGTTTTGCCACCTGCAGTGGTAAAGCTGATAATTTCTACCAATCTATAAAAATCAGAATATTTTCACAGCATTTTCAGAGCTGTCAATAATCTTCTACTAGTCCACCTTGCAGTAAACAATGCTGAACTCATTCTAGCTTTTGTCCTAGACTTTTCTTTCCCTGCTTCCGTGTTTCCTTCCCAGAGTGTCCATACTGACTTAGTTAGCTCTAAAGCATGTGCACTCTGCATCATTACAGATTTTCAGTTTTTCTTCTTTCTCCTCTTCCATCTGGAGGTTGACAAATCCACAAATACAAACAAATATTTTCTTGATAATCAAAAATACTGCTGCTTCTGACTATTTAAAGCACAAGGAAATTAAAGGTAGTAACAATGAAGATGAGAATCCTGGTTGCTGCAGATTTTTACTGCTCAGTAAACCTAGATTTCAGCTGGAGAGCAAGATTAGATCATCAGGGTTTTTTTTAGCATTTCTGTTCATATATTTATACAGGAAAAGGAAAATAGTATTTGCAAACTAACTTCTTCAAATATACTATGGTTAGCACTTGGCATACTAATAAAGTATTTAGCAGAAGTACTATCATATAAGCTCAGATACTCTCCAGTAAATATTTGTCCCCTATAGAAGTCAGGTCAGTCCTTGACATCAAATGTCAGAAGACTCTGTCCCTCCCCACTCATTCCTGCAGTGTGCAGGAGCAACATCTCAGCAAGTCACATAAAACCACACAAGCCAACATGGGAACACAAAAGGCACAAGAAAAGACAGGACCTGTCTCTGTGTGTGGGGGGCTACTTTACTTTAATTGTGATGTCCAAACTACAACAAAAGGAGACAAGTGCTACATTAAAAATTTACTATAAATGCTTACTAAGAGTTTTGTTCTAAAATGGTATACAATGCAAGTTTAAACCTTTTTAACCAGGCCTCAATTTGATTTTCACATCAATTTCACTCAATTTTTGAAAAATGCCATTCGGGAAAAAGGCTGACTGTACCTTTTTCTGTAAGATTTTTTTGTTTGTTTGCTTTAAGGAGATATTTTTTTAGATAATCTAAAACCATATATCCAATCACATTAGACACAAATTCCTTCATATTATTCACTCCCTCCAAAGCTGCAACAACCTGACCACACATTTGGAAAATACCAGATGATTTGTATGCGTATTTGTCATCAGTATTTCAATTCACTAGAGCAAGGGTTGCTAACACTGATGGGAAACAGCACACAACCAGTATTTCTGTTGCAGGGACAACAACCGCCAGCAAAAAAAGGCAGTAACTTGCAAGGAGCATGCATGACCTAATAAT